GGCCACCCAGACTTTGTTTAAAAACCTCCAACGAAGGAGACTCCACCAGACTCTGAGGCAGTATATCCCACTGCCAAAGAGCTCTTACTGCTGGGAAGTTCTTCCTAATGCTTGGATGGGATTTCTTTTCCCCTAGTTTTAATAGCTTGTTCTGTGCCCTTGTCTCTGTAGTAAAAGCTTCTTCAATATGACATCCTTTCAAAGACAAGTATGGCCATCATGTCACCATTTCACATTTTCTTCTTCAGGCTCAACATACCCAGCTCAATAAGCCACTCCTCACATGGTTATGCTGCCAGCCCTTTTACCATTTCCTTCTCTGTACATGTCCCAGCTTGTCAATATTCTTCCTGAATTGTAGTGCCTAGAACTGGGCATAGTATTTCAGGTGAGACTTAGCCAAAGTAAATACTGCTGTACTAGTTTCAGGTGAAAGCAGACCACTAACCTGCCAATCTGAGAATGTTTGTTTGTGAGCTGGATCATTTGATGGAAAGAGACCGATCCTGCCTTTGTTCTGACTACCTCAAGGCAGCACACCATGGTCATGTTGTTCTTCTTCTTCTATATATCCTTACAACAGCCCTGAGATAGGTTGTGTGTGTGTGTTCCTGCTTTTATAGCAGACTTTTCCAAGGTGCTGCCCTCCAGATGTGTTGGACTACCATTCGCAGCCAGTGGCCATGCTAACTGGGAATGGCAGAGGTTGTATTTCAACACAATTGAGGGAGATAAAGTTTATGAAGATTGTCTCTTTGTAATAGCACGGCTAAGGGATTTTAAGCCTTCAAATGTTGTCCAGCCTCAGTCAACCTGAGCACCTGTAAGGTATGACAGCAGTAACTATTTACAAAGTTCTGCCAGGCTGAGGTTTCCCCTGTGTGGTTCTTTGCTTGTGTGGAGGGAATTGAGGACAGGTTTTTGGGACAGAGGAGATAGTCCTGGAGCTCCCATGATCATGCATTGCTGACTAGGTTAGGAATTGATGGGAAATGGAGTGTAACATCTGGAGGCCAGGCATTCCTTACTCTTAGTCTAAATTATAAGGGATTCAAGCAGGTTGTTCCCTGTCATTTTCCTTACCCTCCCAATGTTAAATGAGCATTAATAAACAATTTGTATAAAAAGTTATGTTCGTGCCATGTCATTATTTTCTTGGTAGGCAGCAGAGATTATTCAGTTAAATGTATAGTAATTATCTTTCTGGCCCTCCAAGTTCCTTCAATAGTTCCTCAGCCATTGCCTTCCCTTTCTCACATGTATCAATTATAACTTTCACTATTTCAAATTAAAGAATACTCAACATGTAACCCTAACTCTTAACAGGGCAATGTGTCCTGCATTGATTTGCTAAGAAGAAGAAAAAATTAGTATTCCAGATTTTCAGCACAAGGAGTAACCCCTTGAGCACTCATGAAAGAGCAATGAAATTGGTAACTGTGCAACAGGGAAGTGCTGTCTCCTTTTTGGGGGATTGAGAGAATGGACTTGGAAATTACTAGAGAAGGAACTGTGCCAGCATGGTTTTCAATATGTAACTGGCAGACCAGAAGGGAGCGCAAACTGCAGAGAGGAACATTTTACTCCTGTTCTGCATCATTGTTTTGCAATTGAGCTCCTGGTTCCATCACAACATCTACTATTCCATCTGGGCCTCTCTCCAAAGTCAGTAAACCAAGGTGTTGGCCAATACTATTGTAAAATCAGATGGCATGGAAATGCCACTAGAGAAACGCTACTTGTGTGCAGGAAATGGGCTCTATGTAAATGTAGGGATATTACTGGCATGGCATGCTTCTTTTTTTGCAAATATATTAATGGACATTTATTGCACTGTCATTCGTAGGGCAGCATGTATGTAATCCACCTTGCATATCCATGGATTCTGCATCTATGAATTCAATCATCCACAGCTTAAAAATATATTTTTTTAACTCCCAAAAGCAAACAGCAAACTTTGATCTTGCCATTTTATATAAGGGGCACCTTTTACTGCACTGTTGTATATAATGGGACTTGAGCATCCTGGAACTAAATGTCAGTGCATTCCAATGGCCTAGTGTAGTTCTCGCCCTCATCTCCACACCCATTTTATTCTCACAATAATTATGAGAAGCAGAGTAGAAAGTGATAGTAACTGGCTTCAGGTCTGCATGGGAATTTGACTGTGGATCTTCCCAATCATAGCCTGACATAGATACTCTAACGGCCACACCAAGCACTAGAAAGAAATGTTTGTTTTTGTGATTGAAAATGAGGCAAGGTTCTTAATGAATTGCTCTCTATTTGGAGTGCTTTCTGTGTATTCCTTTTCCACCCCTCTTCTAGCGCAGACTTTTAAAAAAAGAATGTAGAAAAGGTGACTGATTAACAGGGATGTTTGGATACCACTTGCCAAGGGTTGTGATGTCACCACACCAATGCAGAGCGGAGGCTCTTCATAACAAAATATATCCCAGAACATCAGTGAACCTGAGAGAGGTAAGCTTACTTTTCTACTTGTAAGACAGTATTCCATTTTGGATTAGGCATCAAAGGAGTGCGGGGGGGGGGGGGGGGGGGAGGGAACCTTAGGCATATGTGGGAAAAAAACTTCTTTACAAATGGCAATTGGGAGGGGGTAACTTCTGCCCATCCATAAGTCTCTCTTGGCCTGATTGTCTGATGGTCTCACCTGCCTGCAAAGGTTTTTGTTGTCATCAGTTGATTTTGACTTATGGCAGTGGTTCCTAACCAGTGGTCCATGGACCACAAGTGGTCTGTGACAACTAAAATATGGTCCGTGGCCTCACGGTTACTATACCGTTGCAATGAGAGTGACTGGTCTTGTGAAACCCTCTTATAGTGCCAAGGCTTATTAAATATGGTTTTTTTTTGTGGGTGACCAGATGGTGACTACAGGATGCCATATGTTCTGTATCAGCAACTAGACCTGACGTGGTCTATCCAATGCAGTTTTTTGAATCAGCACCCCAAATAACCAAAACCAACCAAGTTGACCAAAAACAGATTCGTACTTTTGGTACTAATGTTGGAGAGTGGTCCTTGGTCAAAGTGGTCCCTGGCCAAGTAGTCGCTGGGGAACCACTGACTTATGGTAACCACATGAATGAGAAACCTCCAAAGATGCATCCACACTGTAGCTGCAATGATTCAATTGTAGTTTGATGAGGCACCAGTGCTCTTGATAGAGAAAACTAAAATCGAGTTGTTGTAGGTTTTTCGGGCTATATGGCTATATTCTAGAAGCATTCTCTCCTGACATTTCACCAGCATCTATGGCAAGCATCCCTAGAGGTTGTGAGGTCTGAGGTTGTGAGAACATGGCCATATAGCCCGAAAAACCTACAACAACCCAGTGATTCCAGCCATGAAAGCCTTCGACAATGCATAAAACTAAAGTCCTTGTAAAACTACAACTCCCAAGATTGCATGGCAGCTAAAGAGATATCAAACTGCATTCATTCTGCAGTCTAGATACACCCTTAATCAACTACTGCTCTCCATATAACTAAACATCCTTGTCTTTTCTGGTGAGCCCTGTCTTCTCATTACATGTCCAAAGTATGACAGCCTCAGTTTAGTCTTCTAAGAGGGAGTTTTGGTGTTAAGAATAAAAGGGCAGGGAGTCACCTGATCTGCCCTGGCCCCTCTGGAGAAAGGGCAGGGTATAAAAATGCCACAAGGACCTAATATTTTCAATCTCTTTTTTTCTTAGAGGGAGGAGGAGGAGAAAATGGGGAAAATGGGGAAGGCTATTATGTAGGATGATGACCCGAGTCACTTCATTAAAAACAGAGGACCCGCCAACTTGGCCTTTGCCATGTTTCTTGGCTAGCCCTTGATCTGGTGGCTCAAAGATCAAGCGAAGGGACTTCAATGCCCCTTCAGTTGCACGTGCCCCCCAATTTTGAGCCACATGAAAGATGATCTCTGAAATCAGCCAAGGTTCAAGGAGAGCCAAGACCTTTGTGCATGAATGCCCCCTCCTCCTCCTCCTCCTCCTCTTGAGATGAGTCTCTCCAGCCGTTTCTCGTCAAGGCCACTCCATAATGGCATGCAAGATGTTTGGTTGAATTAATTAAAAGCCTGGGGTGCGTTGGAGGGCAGAAGGGAGGCAAAGGCAGGCCAAGATGAGGGAAGAGGCAAAAAGGGCTACAAAGCCAAGGCCTCCTTGTGTGTGCCAAAATGCTGAGGAGGGAGGATGAAGGGGAGGGAGGCGCTCCCCATTTTTCTCAAGGAGCCATGGATCTTTCTGGTTGCTGGGCTGGGCCCCTTCTTGGCCTCACTGCCACTAAAAAAAACACCCTTTTTCCAGGGAGGAAGGGGGACTATAAAACTGGACACTTATTAGCCTGGGGTAGCCATGGAGAGGGCTGAGTGAGTTTCATTAAGACTAATTCAAGCCCACTTGACACAGCTCCCAGAGGCCCATTGTCCACAGCCAATCCATAACAACAGCTCCCCATCCTGCTGAGGAGAAAGGTTTGTGTGTCTTGGGGAGTTTGTGCAAGCCCCAAAACAGGCCTCTGGGGGACCCAAGGGTCCAGCTTTTCCCTTCTTTTTTCCTTCCTTAGACAACAACTGGTGGCAAAAGGAGGAGTTTTGGGAAGGAGTAGTAGTAGAAGAGCTAGTGTGTGTATGTGTGTGAGAGAGAGAAAGAGAGATTGATGGAAGGGCACCAAGGCAGTTTCTGCGAAGCCAACCGTCCAGGGCCGCTCGCGCTCTCCATGGCGACGCGGCGGCCAATGGGAAGCGCGGAAGCTGTTTACGGAGGCGGGGCGTCGCCATGGCAGCCGGAGAAGCCTTTTGGAGCGGCTACTTATGGACAGTCCTTCTTCGGAGGCTTACAAATCACAGCGGACGAGGAATAAAAAGGGCGCTCTGGCAGCCAGGAGGGACATTCATTACCCAACTGCATAATACAGCCGAAAGTCGGCCCCCTCTCTCCCCCTCCCCCGCCTTTTCCCTCTCCTTTAACTTCCCCCCCCCCCCCCCGCCCCAGAGCAGCCCCTCTTCTAGTTGTAAACATTTGGCACCTGTGGGATTCCTCCTTAGGATCAGGTAAGAGAATCCGAATTCATTCCTCTGCCAGGCCAAGAGGGGGTGTTCCATTGTATACTTGGGCCTAATCTACAGGGCCATATCTGAACTGCATATCTGGCCAGTGTTGGCTCATATAATGAAGTTTGACTGTTTTGTATCTGTTTACACTGACCATATAATGCAGTTTCAAACTTTATTATATGGTAGTGTAGATGGGGCCTTGGAAGTTATATCCCCACCTATCACACTTTCTTCTTTGACAGCAAAATTTTGTGTTGATCACTATTATTATTATTATTATCATCATCATCATCATCATTATTATGAACTTGATTACTGTTATTATTACTATTACTAACTTGGTTAGTATTAGTGCCAGCTTTTGCTGTGTGTATTGTTATATGTGCATTCTAAGAGTTTTTTGTCTGTCTGATTTAACCCTGTTGTGTCCCTCCTTGAACAGTGAGGAGAGATGAGTAACAAAGTTACTATTACAAATATCATCCTTATCTAGGCCTCATATAGAAACCAATAACCTTCTTCATAATATGTTTTAGTTTTGTTTCATATATACAATGTGAAGAGGGCTGGTGTGGATGTTGAGTTTCTAACTTGTGGTTACTGAAATACAAGTCACTTGGCCTCTCTTACTCTACTAATAATATCTTGATGCACACACACATTATAGTCAAGGCCAACAAGATGTCTAAGGTATTATCTGTGTAAGTGTGCATATTTACATCCGGTGGTGCAGCAGATTAAACCACTGAGCTGCTGAACTTGCTGACCGAAAGGTCAGCCGTTCAAATCTAGAGAGCAGGGTGAGCCCCCACTGTTTGCCCCAACTCATACCAACCTAGCAGTTAAAAAACATGCAAATGTTAGTAGATCAATAGATGCCACCTCTGTGGGAAGGTAATGGTGCTCTGTACAGTCATGCCGGCCACATGACCTTGGAGGTGTCTACAGACAACACTGGCTCTTTGGCTTAAAAATGGAGATAAGCACCACCCCCCAGAGTTGGACACAACTAGACTTAATGCCAAGGGGAAATCTTTATCTTTATGCATCCCTCCCTTGAGCAGTGAGGAGGAAATGGGTAACCAAGTTATTATTATGAATATCATCCTGTCTTTCTCCATATCTGGGCCTCATATAGAAACAGATAATCTTCCTTGAAATATGCATGGTGTTTTAGTTTTGTTGTATGTAATGTGAAGAGGGCCGGTGTGAATCTTGGATTTCTAGCTTGTGGTTACTTAAATACATGTCACTTGGGCCCTATTACGACTAATAATGCCTTGATGCACACTCACATTATAATCAAGGCCAACAAGATGTCTAAGGTACTTAGATGTTACTGTCTTGAAAGCCGCCCTGAGTCCCCTAGGAGAGATGGGGTGGAATATAAATAAAATGTAGTGGGTTGAACTTGCTGACCAAAAGGCCAGTGGTTCAAATCCAGAGAACGGGCTAAGCTCCCGCTGTTAGCCCCAGCTTCTGCCAACCTAGCAGTTCAAAAACATGCAAATGTGAGTAGATCAATAGGTACTGTTCTGGCGAGAAGGTAATGACACTCCATGCAGTCATGCCGGCCACATGATCTTGGCCAATGCTGGCTCTTCAGCTTAGAAATGGAGTTGACCACCACCCCCCAGAATCGGACATGACTAGACTTAATGTCAAGGGGAAACCTTTACCTTTACTTAAGGTATTCTCTGTGTATATTTACCTGATATACAAGACAGTTGAGACTACTCGGTTGAAGTTTAAGCTAGCCTGAAGGAAGGGTGGCCTGCTTTCACTATTAAATGAAGTTCTGTTGAAATCAATCAGCTAACTGTCTGTGTCTATCATCCATCAATTCATCCCATGATCTGTTTAACTGGGGTGAACTTGCTTAAATAAAAGTGCTTCATCTTACAACTGAGTTGTGTTACTAGAGATAGAATTTCCATTTTATTGAATATATTTTCCAAATAGCCAGGAAATTATGGTAGACCCTCAGTTAACCAACACACAAGGATTGGTAGATGCCGGATAAATATACCTTTTTGGTTGTTTGCAAGCTACTATTAGAAATAGACCTAATTAATACGATACACCATACTATACAATTCTGTACTGATTTGATATTAATATTGAAAACAGTAATTAAAATCAAATTAAGACATATAAACAAACTTAACTGAATGTAACACAGTTTTACTAGTTTACTGTATTATAAAAGCAGCCTTTTAATTTAAAGGAGTATTTCTTCAGTTTTTTGCCAGTTGATTGAGAGTTCCGGTTGCCTGAGTTCCAATCAACTGTGAATTCTAGTAGCAACAATGAGGAGTATGTTTAAAATGTCCAGCCTTCTTTTACAGTCTGATAGTATAATTATTAGCACAATCTAATAATCTCTGTTTAGAAGTATGTCCAATTGAGTTTTGGTGGAGCTTACTCCCAGGTAAGTGTATATGCAACTTAGGATCAGAGCTTTAAATATCTACTTCAATACATATGCTGATTTTTTAAAAGAAGATATTGTAACTCTGTTGTATGGCCAGATGAGACTAAACAGATGCAGTGCTCTCTCAGTTTTATCTAGAAAAGGTTAAAAAGTGCCAATTTTATAAATTAAGGTTTTATTCAGTTATGAAACTGAAAATAGGCCTGTTATTCCCCATGTGTCTGTGTGTGCGTACCACTGGTAATTTCAGTTGGATGCTTTTATCTAGGTTTGAGTGGTGTTCTAATAAGAACAAAGCCACTTGAATTCTTGGCAGTTTTGGGAACCACCTTGCCAGAAAAGAGAAAAGGAATTTGGGCAAATTCCATCCTTCTGACCACTGTGGTCTACATAAAGCAGGCTACTCAATGAGTACAGGGCTCCTACTGCACACAGCCCAAACTCAGTTCCTTAGGAGATGGATGGATGGGTGGGTGGGTGGATGGGTGGGTGGGTGGGTGGGTGGATAGATAGATAGATAGATAGATCAATCTATGCTTTTTATGTTTATCTGGCAAAGTATGTCTTTGTGAACTGCCCAGTTGTTGGGAACTTTGAACTTCTTCACATTGTTGTTGCAGGATTGTCATTCCCCTGCCCCCACCCCACCCTTTCCCTTTTGCCCCCTCCTGCTTCCCCACAATTTCTGAATGTTGGACCTGCCTATTTTGGCTTCCACTGACATGACTGACAGCTGGCTGAACATACAGTCAGAGGAAGAGAAAGGTCAAGAAAACAGCATGGTGGATTCAGGGAACCTGGACGACAGTTTGACCAGCCTTCAGTGGCTTCAAGAGTTTTCCATAATCAACGCCAACATGGGGAAGTCCTCGTCTTCCCCATGCGGTACAGATCCTCATGGTTATCACAAAATTCCTGGTTCAGCTGCTCCGTGTTCCCCCCTGGCTGGTGATCCAGCCTGCATGGGGATGCCCCATACACCTGGCAAGCCAATCTCCTCTTCTACGTCAAGGACTGCACATCTGCAAGGCCAGCCACTGGAAGACATTGATTACAAGACCAACCCCCATGTGAAGCCTCCTTATTCCTATGCCACACTCATCTGCATGGCAATGGAAGCCAGTAAGAAAACTAAAATCACTCTCTCAGACATCTACAAGTGGATTACAGACAATTTCTGCTATTTCCGGCATGCTGACCCCACTTGGCAGGTAGGTGGCTGGCAGAGTCTCTATCCCTTAGCATTTTGGCATCTGCCCTGGGAGGAAAATAGCCAGTCATCTGGTCATAGTTGTCATTTTCCAGTGTTCTGCTGGATCCCTCCTGTGTTTCAATACTAACTACCTTCTCAAATTGGCTTAGTTGTCCATATGATTTATGATGGTTGAACATGATGATTTTGTAATTCTTTTTAATCCTCATTATTACTAGAGGTGACTGGTGTGCAAAATAGACCTACATCTTAATATACTGAAGGAAAAATCTGTTCCTTATACAGTTATATTAGACCAGCAACCACTTTTTAATTTTCCTAACTTAGACTCTAGCACCCTGCTATCTCAATCATATTTCTTCATATGAAATCTAAGATCTTTTACATCTTGCCACCAGAAGACTAGGTTCTAAGATCAGGTGTGGAAGGACCATCATGATCTTTTCACAATCAATCACTTCACTCACATTACATTAGAAAGCAGTTTTTATCATGCTGCATCTCTCTTCTCTTCTTCATTTTCCCCAGAGTTCAATTATTGTTGCTTGGTATATTTCCCATCTCAGTGTTTTGCCTAGGGCAAGCACTTAGTAGTACACAGATGTTAATATAAACGAGAAGGCAGAACAATGTAAACAATACATTTTCTCAATTTAAAGTTACCAATTAAATATGTCTCTACTGTAGGACAAATACTGTGGATGTTTGAGGGACATCCTTTTTCTGTACTTCAGACAATCATAGTATTTGTAGTGGTGCACTTCAATGTCTAGAGTACAGGATGAATTACAAAAAAGTGTAGAAACAACATTTTAGTAAACCAAAGAAAGGAGTGAATAGGTCATAGTATAAAGGGAAGGAAAGTTGGGAAGATGGTGATTCTTTCTAATACTATATTCCTGATGCTGTAAAACCTGCCAATCATAAATTGGGGTTTGGATTCAAGGAACAAGGAGAACAATTAGAGATAGAGAATGAAGACAGCAATAAACCTACAAATCTTGTATTGTGCATTTATTCTCCAAGAGTCCATTAGTTCTTACAAAACATAAAAATGGAACCACAACAAATATTCTCTAGATATTTGCTTTTCAGAAATTAAAGTAGGCTTCTAAGCTTTGCCAGGAATTTTATTCTTCACGGTGAAATGTCTTTATTCTTTATTCAGATACTGAAGAAGCAATCTCATTAGAGGGGCTTTGAAAATGAATCCCTTGCATATGGTACTATCCTCATTATGAAGTAATTGGATCCCTAACAGATTCTTAGATTTTAGTATTTAACAAACCAAGTCTCCACTTACATGGTGTTGCACTGGGTAGCAGCTGGTGGCCCCATGCCACTGGGACAGAGAATCCGCTTCAGGTTTAGTCTGAACTTTAAAAGAACCATCTAAGGTGCTGAACCTGCTTCAGGATAGGATTCAGAAATTTGAAAGATTTCTTTAAACTTTGGACCAAAATTCATGGTAGTTCCACTGATTCACTGACATAGCCACTAGTTGCTAGTGCTACAATTTGCATCATTGCTGGCTAGCTACCAAGCATGTATATACCATGGAGAACCTTTAGCCGAGGAAGATCAGCACAGGTCAGCTTGTGTCAGAATTGTGGAGCATCCAAAAGACTCGACTATCTATACGCTAGCAGGGGAAGAAAAGCGGGGTGGGATTAGAAGGACAAATAAACATGCCATCTTTCTTAAAAGCTCTTTCACTTGATCCATGAGACAAAGGTAAAGTATTAGCTGTATTGGTTCCCACTGAAGGAAAATAAATAAATAAATGTGCATTGTCCATGTCACTTGGTGATTCACAAGACTAGAGACAGAGAACCTTCACCAAGAATAGAGAAACATTTAAAGATTGGGTTGGGATACTAGAAATGAGATGGTTGGAATATTACATCTGAACTGTTGGGTATGTGCAATGATATTTTAATCTCTTGGAAAGATGCAGTGGACCCATAAAGCCTTCATAAAGTTCAGAAGTGCTGTGGACAGCAATATGAAGCCCACTGCCATCAACTTTTAAAACTATTTGTTTAAAAGGACTTTCTTGGTGCTGAGGGATCTCTGTTCTTCACAAGCACCATCTTCTTTTCTACTTAGTTTGTGTGATATTTGCCAGGATGAATTATCTCTTTGGTTCATTGGATTTCAAAATATTTTTGAGTGAGTTGTTTATAAGTGGAACACTAAATGTTCATTGAGGAAAAAGAAGGAAATCAAGGAGAAATCCGGGTAAGGATCGTTCACCAGGCCTTTATAAAAAGTGCTTGTTTAGCATTCACTGCCAAAGATATTTTGTTGTCTAGGAAAAAAAATATGACTCTTCCTACCATTTCATGAATTTTATTTCAACAGTATGAATGGGACATTTATCACATCTGGAGGTGCAAGGCAGCTGGATCTTCCATTTAACTTTACTACAGTTCCCTTCCATTTTGAATCCAGTATACTAGACAAGTCACTTTCTTTCTTACTATGCCAGTGCATCTTGAGGCACAATTGTAGAGTTAGGTCTCTGAAGTCAAGCCCACTGTGCTGGCCCTTAGTGCAAAAGAAATATTTTTTGTCTGTCTCCAGTGAGTTCAGTTAGATTATGTATGATCCGATGTCATATTGATGGCATCAGAGATGGTGATGGTGATGATGGCAGTCCCATTTGTGTCCACTGTTTCTTGCAGACTTTATTTTAAATCGGATTTTGAGAGCCTAGATATGGTATACAAGAAAATGGTAGACTGTTCTAGAGCTCATGTTACAGGACTACCTCTGAAACTGGTATACTGTTTTGTTGTAATGTGCCTTTAAGTCATTTCCAATTTACAACAACCTACCCATTATTCTTAACTATTCTTGACAAGATTTGTTCAGGGAAGGTTGACATTGAGGCTGAGAAAAGGGGACTTTCCCAAGGGAGACTTTCCCAGTGGACTTCCATGGTTGACTCTGAATATGAACCCTGGCCTCTAGAGTCCTAGTCCAACATCCAAAGCCTTCCAGTATAATGACAGTGAGGTCATAACACAAGATAACTCTTTAACATGTGCATCACTGTCATCATGGAGACTCCATTCCACACCCTTTGCTGTTTCTAGAAAAGTGGCTGAGACCATAGCTTAGGAAAGGCTTTTAAAAAAAACTACAGCTCCCCGAATTCTGAAAATATCGTGCTTAGGCTAGCATAAATTTATAATGTGATCTCAGTGGTATAATTTTCTTGAATATAGCTAAAGCTCAACTACTTGCTCCCACAGAAAGATAATTTTAACACTATTGTCATAACTATAATCAGGCCTTTATTTGTCTAGTTGTTTAGAACTTCATGACCTTTAGGGCTGAGTGTTATTGCTACCCATCACTTTGGGCAATGTATGTGGGAAGAAAGCAACATTTGAAAAGAACCTTCTGCAATCTCCTAATTCACACCTGTGCTTTACCACATTTTGATACCTCGAGTAGTGTCTCCTATCATATTCTTCCCTTGCCTACAGCAGCACATTCTCTCTTAAACAGAATGAATTGAAGCTTACTAAGTGTTGTCTTCAAGTTAGCCTTTATACACAACTACAAAGACACAGGCCTGAATCTTATCATTAGTCTTCATTAAAATAGACCCATTGAATCACTGGGATTTACTTGTATGTGGATTCACCATTCAATAATTAATTGAGGCCCCTTCCACACAGCTGTATAAAAACACATTGAACTGCATTATATGACAGTGTGGATGCAGATATCCCAGTTCAAAACAGATATTGTGGATTATCTGCCTTGATATTCTGGGTTATATGGCTGTGTGAAAGAGCCCTAAGTGGCTTTTCTTTAGAAGGACTAACCAACACAATTCAGGTTCATGTCTTGCAGAACATGAGTGTGGGGTGCTTCATCTTCTAGAAGGTGGGAAACCTGTTGTCCTATGCATTGCATTGAACTCCTTTCACCCTAGCCAGCATAACCAATGGTCAGAGATTATAGCAATTGTCACACAATATCTTGAGGGCCAGAGGTTCCCCATCCCTATTTTGCTTTGGATCTGTTGGACAACTGGTATATTCAGTGGAATATTAAAGACCTCCTTGACTGACTCAAAAATTAATTCAAAGAAGCCACTGGATTAGGTATTTTTTCTTTCTTTTCACTTGTTTTAATATACTAGTCATCTTTTGAGATTTGTTTCATCTTTTTGTTAATAACATCAGGACTTGGCTTTGAAATGGTATTAACAAAGATGCAATTTTCTAAGAAACGAAGAAAAGACAGAAAAGAGAGAGGGAAGTGTGGGTGCAATGAGAAGCTGAGTTGGACAAAAGCCTTCATTTTCTCCAAGCCATTTTCCACCATGGTTCAATTTAGTAATTAGCCAGATTCATTTATTTTCATCTCATAAAACGATTCTAACTTTAGGAAGCACAAGTAACAGAGACCATTAAAAAAGCCAAAGTAGTAATCACATAAAATAATATCCATCCTTCTATGTCAATGGATGCTCCACCACCCAGTATTATGTCCTTCTGATTAAATATAGCAAACATACACATAAGAATCACCTGCAAAAGGAGTTGTTGTAGTGAAATATTCCAGGGGCCTTTTTACGCTACTCAGATCTGACTCTGATTTCATTTTGCGCATGGAGGCATTTTGAATTCCCAGCCATTATCCTCTGGTGTGTCTGACCCAAAGATAAGCCCAGGATTCCATAGGATGCTGCCATGGCAATTATGATGGTATCATAATGCAGTAACTATGCAATAACTGGTACTGCTTTGCTGATGGCAACAACTGGATTTAACACAGCTGAATTTGATAGCAAACAAAACATATCAAAATGGGAAGGAAACTAGTGTGAAAATGCCTGTGGTCTTCAGACTCTGAAGACAACACTTTAGTTTTCATCCTTGGATAACTTTAGCCAGGATGTGCATGCTGCAGTTTAAGGAAACAAAAGAATAATTGTGAGTAATTTAAATAATTTGATTCAATTTTTTTAAAAAAAACTCCATCACCAGATTTCTGCATCTGTTAGGTTTTCCTTGACATCGTTCCACAATGGGATATTTTATGTTTCTTAGGATTTCTTAGGATTAGAACTAAATTAGACTCTTGAACTAAAATGGGCAGAGAGGTAGAATAAAAAGAGATTCTTGTTTTTTCGCCTTTGTGTTTCCATTAGAAGATTGCTCTCCTTGTTTTTGTTCCTTTCTTTTAAAGTGTTCAGTGCCATTTTACAAAGATGCAGGTGGTTCAACTGATCCCTGCAGGGGGAAATGATAAATATGCTAACTAGCTGGGTAATAATCAATCGTAGGCAAGGACAGTAGATTCAGAGTAACTCTCAGGCAGGGAAGGCGAGTATTCTCTGACCCTTGTAAAATTTCATTAAACTGTAAATTCCGACTCCTCAAAGATCAGCACACTTGCAGGAATTTCTCACTTTTTATCCTTTCTTCTTGCTTTTCTCCCACCGCTGCTGTGTTCTCACCCGCCTGGCCAACCCCAGTTCCTGTAAGTGCAGACACAGAGTCAAAATGTCATGCCACCCATAAGCAAGTGGGGGTGGGGGATGGAGAGAGATTCCTGTGGGAGCTATGTGCTTTGGAGAGGAGCCAAGATGCCCAGGGAGTTTCAGCCCTGAGGAATGGGGTTTTTTTTAAAAAAAAATGATTTAGCCCTCCAGGCATTCAGACCTTGCTTTTGGTCTTTGGCAATACGGATTATGGATGAATAAGCATAAAGATATCTAGGCAACATTTAAAAAAACCCTTCACTTACAATCCTTCACCATATCCAATCTTGTAACAACCTCCCAGCTTTGTACCGTGTAAGAAAGTAAGACAGTGTTCTTTACCCAATAACTAGGTTTCCTTTCTGATTGTGCACATCACACACATTCATTCTCTTTTTTGAAAAAAGCTCTATGGTGACAGAAAATGCCCCCTTCCTTGGCTCTCTAGCTTTCTCTTTTGTTCTCACAGTGACTGTGATTTTTTTATGACAATTCAGAGGGCAGTTTAATAAAAAGTCCAATGCAAGTAGCAGGTGATCCATCACCACACAAAGATGTGTGTGTGTGTGTCTGATGGGTGTGCAAATAAACACAATCAACAAGTGTGCAGATTTTGCATGATGTTCCCTTCTTACTAAGCTTCTTTCCCCCCGCGTCTCTTTGCTATTGTATGGTCCTCCAACTACAGACACAGTATTTGCTTTGTGGCTGCCATGGCAGTTTAAAAAATTGTGATAGTCATGAAACATTTGTTCTTACTTATCTAGCCGCTTAATCACTTTGGGAAGTCATTTTCATTCCTAATTTTGAGAATATCGGAGATATTTTTTCCATTTCACATTGAGGAAATTACTGTGAATTATTTGGAAAATGGAGAAGTTACTGGCTCAGGTATGGATGATGGGGAAAAAATAACATTCCCAAGTTCTTGGCTACTCCTGCCTGAAATAAGTGAAGCAAACCCCATGTCTTTCTGGAGACCACACAAGAGAAAACGGGATCTAGGGAACACAAGGTGAGGAGGGACCCTTGAAAGTTAACTTGAACTGAATAAAGGGGAAGCATAACTGTTAAAGTGCATATTTTTCATGTTTGATTTAAACCTTTTCATGCAGACACCCATTTCCAGTAGGTTAGTGTGATCTCCGGGAGTGTGGTACCTAGATATGAATGTATGAGTTTGGACTGCTTAGCCTAAGACATACAAAGACCTTCCTGAGGAGTTAATTCTATCTTTACTAAGCTTGAGACACCAGGGAGAGCTTTGTTTGAAGGCATATTACATGACCTATGTATTTGTTTGACTGTGAGATAAATCCCCAAGAGACTCATTTGCAGTGAATTATAGATGAACTTATTGCAGGCTTAACTCAGCAAGAGGCAGCACCTGAGGATGTGCTTATTTATTTTTATTTATGGTATTTATATTCCACCCCTTTCACCCCAAAGGGGTCTCAGGGCGGATCACAGAACACATATACAGAAAACATTCAGTGCCCATTATACAATGACAAGACAGATAACAGATAGAGGCATATATAGAGAGAGAGGGGGGGCGGGGGGGGGGGGCTTTTCCGATCTTTTGCCATCTTTAGAGGCTGTGCTTGGTTCTGGTCCCCGGGGGTGGGGGTGTGCTGGCACTCCATCTCCTAGCCAAAGAGTTTTTCTTTGTTCATAAACTTCTTCCTTTTTCTGATCGAAATGCCGTGCCTAAAATACCTCCTCCCTGCTTTAATGCGGTTCCTATTTATGTACTCACATTTGTTTTTGAACTGCTAAGCTGGGCTAAGGTCAGGCACTCATCCTGACCTGGACAGTGCTTAGACATGCCAAAGTTCCTTTTAGGTTCTTGTCACTATTCAAGATGGTCACATCTGAAACAATCCCTGCTATAATGCTATGCTGATATACATACAAAATCTGGGTTCTGAAGTTTTCTACAATGTGGAGAATTTCTGACATAGTAGTTCCCCTTTTTATTAAACTGTCTTATAGAGAAGTGACAGAATTGGCCTTGCCATTATTCAGAGCAAGGACACTGCCTCAGGCAGCAGATGTTGGGGCTCTTGCAGCACAGATCTGTCTCTGTCACATGACTTCTTCTGCATCCCCCCAAATCAGCAGTTTCCCTTGGACAGGAGAGTGCTGTCTTTTCCTCGTGTTGAAGTAAGCAATGCATTTTGGTTTTTATATATGAATTGGATGGAGAGCATTATTTTGTACTTCGTTTCTGGCAGCACCGTGAGAATTTTGTTTCCTCAATAGCATATATGGATTTATGTGATTTTTTTTTAGTCATTACTACTGTATACCTTTCACTGCACATCAGCCAGTTGAAGTCCATATCTAATGTGTGCATTTTTTTCAGGCTGAGAAAAGCCATTCTTAGTGACTGTCTTGGTCATATTCAAGTAACATCTTAATAATATGAGTAACTGTCAAGAAATGTTGATAACGTTTGCAATTATCTTGTCTTGTATTAAGGGGAAACTCCCTCCAGGTAGTCTTCATGAACTGGAGCGCCAGGCAATGCATTGTATAAATTTCTACCTTTTCCTCTAGCCAACATCTAATAACATTACAGAACAGCAAGTGGGGACGTGTGTTCCCTCCCTTCTCCATTATTCCCTTTTTGCCTTCTATGTACAGAGAACACTGAGAATCATTAATGGGAGATAAAATTTATATAGAAATTTCACTTTTTTCCTAACATTTGATAAGTATTTTCACTAGAATGCACCTTGTTCCTCTTCCGTTTGCCCATCAATATTTCATTCTAGTGGACTCCTGTAATATATTAATCTGTCAGAGACCCCTTCTACACTGCCATATAATCCACATTATCAAATCAGATAATCCACATTATTTGCTTTGAACTGGATTATGAGTCCACATCGCCATATAATCCAGTTCAAATCAGAAGGGGCCTGAATTAATGATTGAAAAAGTGGGATCTATATCAAAATGTTATAATCTATAGCATGATTTTCTAAAAGGAGGGTTGCTATTCAGCCAACTAGATCTTTTCCAGGTTCCTTTGCCCCAATCTTTCCATTCTGCTTTTGTTTTCCAGCCCTTACCAACATCCCATGGCTGCCAATCATTAGTAACCCCATATGTGTCTGTCTTTCTTTCTTTTTGCAAAAAATCATATGCAGTTCAGCACTCCCAGAGCTTTCCCATTAATGACTTTATTTTGTTGCACAGTGGTATTGTTTTATCTCAATTTCTCTGAGCCCTTGAGATAGTCCTATTAGAGGGAGACCTACAATTGCAATAGACTAGAAGAATTCTATGCTTACATAACTGGTATGAGAACAGATGCCTGTATAACCTTCAGAAACATACACAAAGGAGATATGTGTGAAAGAGAGAGAGATAGAATCTTTGCCCCCTTATTTTAGGTATTATATCGGAGCCTAGAAAACTCTTATTTTTTGGAGTACAACTCTCATAATCACCCATGGCAATAACCTTTCTAAACTCTGGACTGATTATGTCGATTATGTATGAATTTAAAATCAGTGCAGTGTAGCCATGTAAGGTATCAAGCACAAAGAACCAGGTAGCATTCTCCACTTCTCACTTGTCATTGATATCTGAAAACTATCCCAAAGTTATAGATCATATACAGTTTTTCCATATTATTTCTCTAGTTCAGGGAATTGCATGCTTGTAATATAGCAACAAAGAATGCAATGCATTCATAATATGATCAGAAAAATGTTTTTGTTTGATCTTAAAATCATTATGGGGAATAGGACAGGTAGACATTTGTGGACAGCGGGAGCTTACTGTTCTGTAAGTCTATTCCAGAATTAATTTCTTTTAGCCACATTATAACAAATGTTTTTATTCTTGTTCCTTGCTGAAAGCCCTTTATAATTCTACAGCTGCATTAATAGCAAATTTGCATGCTGCAAAATATACTTATTTCTGAAGTTACATTAAATTTTGTGTTTTTTATAAAAATTATTTCAGAATTCCATTAGGCACAACCTGTCCTTGAATAAGTGCTTCATCAAAGTGCCACGAGAGAAGGATGAGCCAGGGAAAGGTGGTTTTTGGAAGATTGATCCCCAGTATGCAGATAGACTCATGAATGGGGCTTTCAAGAAGCGAAGGATGCCTCCAGTGCAGATCCATCCAGTTTTCACTGGGAGACTCCCACAGGATGGCTGCTCCAGCTCTTCTGCTCACCAGGCCACAGCCACCTCTTGGAAAAACAACAATGCTCTGAAAATCAACATGGAATCCCAGCAACTGCTCAAGGAGTTTGAAGAAGTTACTTCTGATCATAGCTGGAACCCTGCAGATGGAAAGATGAACCATAAACGCAAGCAGCCGCTGCCCAAGCGGATGTACAAGATGGCCCGTCTCTCCAGTTCCCCGATGCTCACTCATGAAGAGCAGACAGAGCTTGGGTCGCTGAAAGGTGACTTCGACTGGGAGGCCATCTTTGACACCACCATAAATGGTGACTTCTCCACTTTTGAGGATCTGGAGATCACTCCTCCTATTAGCCCCATCACCAGAGATGTAGACTTGACTGTGCATGGAAGACACATTGATTGCCCGCAGGAGTGGTGCCCTGTTGGTCAGGATTACATCCTCACAGAAGCCAACCAGAACAGCTTGGACTTTGATGAAACCTTCATTGCCACTTCATTTCTTCAGCACCCATGGGATGAAGGGAGAAATGATTACCTCTCAGGGTCTGTCAACATGGATCCTTTGTTTGAACTCAATGACCCTTCCTTGCAGACAGAAATGAATGACTGGAGCAATGCTGGATGTCTTTAATGAGAGACAGACCCCTGACTGAAACAGTCAAGATCACCCAAGTCTGATCAGCTGTATGAACAAGATCTTCCTGGCATTGCAGGACTTTTCATAACAAGAGATTTATAACAAATGAGACATCTTTATTATTTGGACTCAGTGGATCATAGAGACATCTGCGGTGGGGAAAAGATCTGGAGAATTTAGCTGGATATATTTGAAAGCAACACAGATGGGGACCTTATCCCCCCCAAAGGCAACAAGTAATAATAATAGAGTGCTTATTTTTGGTTCTATTAAAGAAATATTGGTTTTTCTACTTCGGGGTGGAGGGGACTGAAAAGGGCATATCTTCCTGGGAGGAGAGGACTTTGGAATAGGATGGAAGAGCTGGCCTTTTCTGGTGACTAGGGATGTGTTAGTTAGATTATCTGAAAATTCCTCTTTCGTCTTCTGTCCATTAATTTTTCTCTTTGTGTTGTGTGGGAGTGTTTGCATGTTTCCACCCGTGGAAACTTGCTAGGTAAAATTGGGACAATTCAGTAGCAGGCAAGTATGGCGTCGCAACCACCTGTCTATACTAGAACTAACTTAGATGTTGAACTTTATATACGCAGCATCAAATCTTTCAGATTTTTTTAAAAAGTAGAGCCTATTATATATCTGTGCATCTATAACACAATGTATGTCTTTAGCAAGAGTGCACAATCAGTAGAAGACTGGGGGTGGGGACTGTAATAATGTTAATTCAGATTGAAGTGTTATCAAGTGTTTGTTCTACAGAGGGAAATGTAATGTAATATGCAAATGGGAATTCCTGCCAGTAAAGAATTTAAAAGAAAAATCCATAAAAGGGGGCCTGATGTTCTCTAGATGGTCCTTTTGACATATTTTTGTATCTCAAATTCTTTATAGTTTTGCATTCTATGTATGCTGTAAAACCTAGACATGAAGTCATGGCAGGCAAACCCACGACTGTTACTATTAACACAGCACTATACCCTCTTCTGACTAGAAGCTATGAAGGAATTTGTGTGATCACATGACAGACTCCGACAGCTCAGCTGACTAGGCAGCTGATTAATAATGAAGGGCTATATTTTTTATCCTTTGACCAGGCAATCATAGGAACTACTAAAACTTTTCTCTGCTATAACTGATGCCTTTTTACATTTGAGTCGCTATCCTTAGCCAGTGACAATGTAGTTTTGATTTAAATTTAAACAAAATTATTCCAAATTTTCATGTTATTCCGTGGCTCTAGATATTAATGGATGGTCTTAGGCCAAAGACTGTATGTGCAGTGAAAACTTCAAGTGGAAGAACATTAAGCTTAATATTGCCTTATTCCGTTTCTCTCCTAGAACTGTGGTTGCCATCCAACTAGATACTTTTAGCTCAAACCTAATGGTCATCTTAAAATATGCATACATTCCAATAAAGTGAAATGTGCAACGCTCACAATTGTCATGGATATTCTTTCTGGAAAGAAGGCAGTCTTATTTGGAGCACTGGGATTTTATATATTTTAAAAGACATATAGGATGGCTCAATTGAAATACTAACTGCTGTAAAGAGGGGTGGCGTGGCGTGGCGTGGGGTGGGAGGATGGATGTAATAAACTGTTGCCCTTCTGGTTGGTGCAGAGACTCCCTAGAGCTTTTACAATGCACCCCCCCCCCCCCCCACATTTCTCTAAACAAGCACACTAGTGGCTACTTTATGTATTTTGAAATATTGTTGCTTTCATGCTCCTCTTCATGCTATGCCAATCTGGTTCACAGAAACAGGAAAAGGCACACTCAGCCAATTATGTGAATGAAAGGGTTGTTCCCAGAAGCAATCATTTGACTCAGAGATGGTTATTTCTCACACTGCATCATGTATTTCAAAAATTACTCAAATTATGTTTCTTTTTTAAAAAATCACTTTTTGCTTATGCAACCAATATTAGGGCTATACTTAGGGCTATACTTACAGTAGCATGCATGGTGAGGAATAGTGAAATTACTGCTATTTTATTGTACTTTCAGTGCATGTGACCATCTCAAGACAATCTTTAACACTTGGAAAGGTGTGGCTTGTAATGCCACTCTCATTTCAATTTGATAAGGATGTGTGAAATTAATGGAGTAACTATAGACCAGAAAAATGTGAGATAAAACTTTTTTTTTGCCCGTGTAGACAACACTTCACACACTCTGCCTTCTATCTAAAGCCTACATAATAATAGCAAGAAAGGGCAGCTGGATAGCATGAGGAGAGTAAGTTCCACTGCCTGATACACAGACAAATTAACAAACACCAACAGAAGATTAAGCTACGATATTTCTCCATTCTTCACTACAGCCCTTTTACAAACTGTTTCTAGCAGTTAAAATGGCTAAATGAACAAAGAGATGACAGAGGAGATAAGTGATCATATAACTTCAAAGACTTCACATAAACCCTCATAAGCACTATGTTTGGTGAGCTTTTTTACCATAGATGACATATTACAGCTATAACATATTATATATACATATACATACACACACACACACACACACACACATATATATAAAATAACATATTACAGCTTAACTCTCCTTTCCTTTATCATATTTATTTAATATGGTTAAGCTGAAATATCTCTGTCTGGCCTTTTCGTGCTAACTTTTAATGTACAGATCTCCAGCTCAAATTATTTTATTCAGCTTATACTGAACCAAAATGTGGAGCTTGTACTAAATCACTTTGTTATTTGGGATTTAGCCAAATTTATTTATTTATTTATTTCATTTACTTATACCCCGCCCTTCTCACCCCGGGGGGGACTCAGGGCGGCTTACAGTGGGGGCACAATTAGATGCCCAAGGCAATTCACAAGCAGTACAAATACAAACAATTCAACAATTAATTAAAAACATCAGTACATAATAAAATCATAAAACAATCTCATGCTCAGGGTTCAGAGTCCATATATCCATTCCATTCCATTTGTCCTTATCTATCATCAGATCCTTCAGTTAGCTGTCAGAATGACCAAAGGCTTGATCCCAGATCCAGGTCTTCAGTTTTTTCCTAAACGCCAAGAGGGAAGATGACGATCTAATCTCCCCGGGGAGTGAGTTCCACAGGTGGGGGGCCACCACTGAGAAGGCCCTGCTCCTCGTCCCCGCCAGCCTCACTTGTGACAGTGGCAGGGTCGAGAGCAGGGCCTCCCCAGAAGATCTTAAGCTTCGAGGTGGGATGTAGAGGGAGATCCGTTCGGACAAATACACTGGGCCGGAACCGTATAGGGTTTTGTAGGTCAAAACCAGCACTTTGAATTGTGCTCGGAATTGGATCGGCAGCCAGTGGAGCTGACGCAACAGGGGGGTGGTATGCTCCCTGTACGCCGCTCCGGTGAGCAATCTGGCTGCTTCTCGCTGAACTAGTTGAAGTTTCCGAGCAGTCTTCAAAGGCAACCCCACGTAGAGTGCGTTGCAGTAATCCAACCGGGATGTGACAAGAGCGTGGACCACCGTGGCCAGATCTGACTTCTCAAGGTACGGGCGCAGCTGGCGCACAAGTTTTAATTGTGCGAAAGCTCTCCCGGCCACCGCTGAGACCTGGGGTTCCAGGCTCAGCGATGAGTCCAGGATCACTCCCAAGCTGCGAACCTGCGTCTTCAGGGGGAGTGTAACCCCGTCTAACACAGGCTGTAACCCTATACCCTGTTCGGCCTTACGACTGACCAGTAGGACCTCTGTCTTGTCTGGATTCAATTTCAATTTGTTAGCTCTCATCCAGTCCGATACAGCAGCTAAACACCGGTTCAAGGTCTGGACAGCCTCCTTGGTGACAGGTGGAAAGGAGTGACAGATTTGGACATCATCTGCGTAGAGATAACATCTCATTCCGAAACTCCGAATGATCTCTCCCAACGGTTTCATGTAGATGTTAAATTGGTTGTACAACCTGATAAATCTTTGATGGGATATAGCCAAGTTGTCTAGACAAGATTATTTATTCCAATTACCCAAATTATATGTATCTAAATTATCTAAAACATTTCTAAGTTTGCATCACTGTATCAATATATGCACATTTTATGTAAATTGACATCTTCTTTTAGCCATGGTGGTGATGCACTTCCTTTTTCCTGACATTAAATTGCCACCTTATGCATCACTATTTTAATGAGAAAGCGTGGTATTATGAAGCATACACAAACCCAGGAATGCTAATGTACTTCTCAATAATGTGCTAATTCTTGCCCTTCATACTGTGTGTTTAGCACATGCACAATGCACACAAAGAAGCTAACCATTTCTATGTGTAGCTCTGAGGAAAATCTCAAGCATTCTCTCCTGTTCTTTTCACCATGTTCTTGGGAACCATCTGAAGCTGTCCTGTGGGCCACAGAGTTGGCTCACTGAATTTATATTGATTGTGTGCCACACAACTGGTGGTCAATATCCAACAAGCCATATGTAGTCCTGCTCTTACTCTGCTTAGTATCTCCATTGAGGTCAGAGTGGTCAGGAGATCTCTGAGCAGCAAGAAAATGCAGCACCAAGGAGACTTCCCAGTGAGCATCTTGGACCATGAATGGTTACAATAAATGGCTGCTTCTTATGCCACAGGCTTCTGGAAGATGAAGTCCAAAACACCTGGAGGACTGACGGCTGGGAATCCCTGGTGTAATAGGAATGGGCCCATAAAATCCCTTTTGTCCCACAAATGGCACTCTCCCCTCACATTGCCTATTGGAAGTTTAAACGGTGGGAAAATACAGTAGGAGACAGTCAAGCAGTGTTTCTTTCTACTGCTGCTGGTGTGCAATGCAGCACCCCATCCTGGGTGCATCTCCATTGTAAAAAGAATAGTCTGATACCACTGTAACTGCCATGGTGCATACCCTTGAATTCTGGTTGGTGGGGCACCGGCACTCTTTAGAGCAGTGGTTCTCAGCCTGTGGGTTCCCAGATGTGTTGGCCTTCAATTCCCAGAAATCCTCACAGCTGGTAAACTGACTGGGATTTCTGGGAGTTGTAGGCCAAAACACCTGGGGACCCACAGGTTGAGAACCACTGCTTTAGAGAAAGCTAAAGGTCCTGCAAAAACTACAACTCCCAGGATTCCACAGCCACTGAGCCTTGGCAGTTCAAGTGGTGACAAACTGCCTTAATTCTCCAGTGGAGGTGCAACCAGAGTCTGCTTTTAAATGCAGAAAAAATACTGTATATCAGGAATCATGGCAGGCTTATCCCTCTTCCTTCCAACTTGAGGCAGGCTTGCTGTGAAAGGGAAGGCACCAAGTCTTTTTGAAAACAGCCTTTTCCACAGGCAAGGAAAAAAACACAACAAATGGAAACCCCTTGAAACAAGAAGTGTCCAGGAGACGTGCAAATGGAGGAAAAATATCCTCTGACACAATTTGGGTCGTGGAAGCAACAAAAGCCAGCCAGGCCCCAGGGGGGAGGGGGGGAGGGGAGAGAGAGAGGCAGAAAGAGGGAGGGAGGGAAGGTGAAGGAAGGACTGCGAGAGAAAGTAAAAAGGAGAAAGAAAGCGAGAGGGGAGAGATAGAAAAGAGTAGAGGGAGAGAAAATGTGGGAAAGAAGGAACAGGAGAGAAATAAATGGGAAAAGCAAGAGGAAGGAAGGGAAAGAGAAAGAGAAAGGGGAGAACGAAGGACTGCAAAAGAAATAAAAAAGGAGAAAGAAAGAGGGGAGAGATAGAAAAGAGTAGAAAGAAAATGTAGGAAAGAAGGAATAGGCGATAAATAGATGAGAGAAGCGAGGGGAAAGAAGGGAAAGAAAGAAAAGGGAGACAAGAGAGAGTCGCGAGAGAAAGAATGAAAAGAAAGAAAGCGGGAAAGGGACAGATTGGGAGGGAAAAGAAGAGAGAAAGAAAGGGAGAAAAAGACGGGGAAGAGAGAAAAGGAGAGTCGGAAAAAAGAGGGATTGAGAAAGGAAGAAATTGGTAGAGAGAAGGAGAGAAATAAGGGGAGAAAAAGAACGAATAATAATGATGATGATGATAGTAAAGGTAAAGTTTTTCCCCTGACAGTAAGTCCAGTCGTGTCCGACTCTGGGGGTTGGTGCTCATCTCCATTTCTAAGCCGAAGAGCCGGCGGTGTCCAAAGACACCTCCAAGTTCATGTGGCCGGCATGACTGCATGGAGCGCCGTTATCATAATACTTGATGTATATCCCGCCCTGTCTCCCCGAGGGGACTCGATTATGAGGGAGCGAAAGAAGAGAGGGCGGAAGGAAAGAAAGGAGAGGAAGGGAGAGAGAGAGCGAGCAAGGAAAGGAGCCAGTGGCATCTTTGGAGAACTAGGCCGAGAACCAGGAGGCAGCTGAGGGGAGGCCACGCTGTAATCTATGTTTCTAGACCCGAATGTCACAAGTGATAATTTTGGGAGGAGCGTGAAGCCGAAAGGGCAGGGGTGGCCTTTGCTCGGCTCTCCGTTGAGGCCGGGGAGAG